GGCTGCTGGAAAGAGGAGTCTGTGAGTTAGTCAAACCTCTAGTACAGAAGAAACAATGTGGTTTTCCTCCTGGGTGCGGAACACAGCTCTTTATCATCTCAAGGATATGGTGGGGTGTATGGGAGTTCACCCAACCAGCCTACATTTGTTGTGTGGACTTGGAGAAGGCATTTGATTGTGTCTGTAAGAGTAGATCTTGTGTGAGATGCTTCAGAAGTATGGGGTGTCAGTCCCATTGTTTTTTTTCATTCTGTCCTTATACAACTGTTGCAAGCGCTTGGTTTGCAATGCCGGCAATAAATCGGAATTGTTCCTCATGTGTACTGGACTCCACCAGGGCTGCATTTATCACAGATTCTGTTCATAATTTTTATAGACAGATTGGTGCTGTGGCAATGAGCTTTCTCCCAAGGGTGACTGGCCTCTCTCTTAGAGATGGGGTGAGGAGTTTGGCCATTCGGGAGGGGCTCAGAGTAGAGCCGCTCCACATCTAAAGGAGTTTGAGTTAAGGGGGTTCAGACATCTGATTAGGATGCCTCCTGGACACCTCCTGGTTGAGGCGATCTGTACTCACAGTCTTCCACTAGGAGGAGGCCACGGGGCAGACCTGTTGGAGAGATTATGGATGGATGGAGTTTATTTACCTGAGAAAACCCAGAAGACCTAAGCGATACTGGATCAGAACCACAACCACGTCCTGGTAAGCAGCCAAGGCAGAGCCATCATATATTGAAGCAGATCCCAGCGCAAAGCCCCCACCATGAATCCAGACCATGACCTGGGCAGAACAATAAAAGAGCATTCTGTCAAAGATTAGAGGATCTTTTGGAGTCTCAGTCAAGCTACAATAACTAATCTTTAAGAATTTAAACTTTAAACAGAGAAAACTGTAATGTAAACTTAAGTTTACATTTTAGATGATAAAATGTACAATTGAGTTCTGAAGATGGGTGTCTTTATTGAGACTGTGATTAGGCATCCCTCATAATCTACAGCAAAAGGTTCTTACTGGGAGCTTGGCATTTTTAGCTCTGTTTGCAGGAGCGTAAATGTTGAGGTAAAGACAGTCTTCAGAGATGTCTGGTATTTCCACCAGTGCTTTACCGAGTTTATCAACCAGATCCAAAACAGTTTCTTTAGACTGAATGCACCTTAAAGAGAGACAATGTTAATGATACAAATAAAGCCAATCATTTCTCAAAGTGTGTTGAACCACATGTGGCTGTTTAGTGGCATCTCTTACTCCTTCCCATCCTCCTACAGGCTGAGGTGGAGCCAGTCTCAAGGAAGGGCCGAGGGGTGGTTTGGCAAATGGGACACCCAGGTAGGCATGGACGCCAGTCTCCTTCCCTTTCACACTCACATACTCACCTTTCAGGCTCCCGAGCTTTGTGCGGACTACAGGTGCTGTCAGGATATTAGAAATCAGTGAGAATCATAACATAAAACGTTATATTTACAAAAATTTAATTAAATCTTCCATTCAAACGTGCTTTGAAATTATAACAGACATACCAAATTTCTCAAAATATGCAATATCTGGTTCTGGTAACGTCATCAAAAGAAAAACTAGTCAACAATTTGATGAATGGTTTAAAAATACTTAGAGAAAAAGCACTTAAAAATTATAACCAAATTCCTCAAAATATTCAATATTTGAATCCTGGCAGTACCTTATTTTTATGAAGACTATATGTGATACAGTCATATGAAGCCATGTGAAAGAATTAAAACTCAGAGTTTACTATATCATGTAGGTGATCAAAAGAGAAAAAAAGTCAGAAATTTTATTAACTGGTCACTTATGTAAGTAAATTCAATACTTTTAGAAATCAAGGGAAAAGTTTAGCTTTTGCTGTGGACAATTAATCCCCATCTTTATAGTGAGGGCGCTAACTAAAGCACTAAATGATAATGTTTTGGTTTAAACCAGACATTTAAATAATCTAACCAGCTGTGATATGTCATCATTAATTTGAAAAAGGCTACTTGCTAATTCATTTATTTATTTTTACCATAAGCATTCTTTGTTGGGTGGTGTCTACAATTATCCTGGTAAAAAAGCAGAGTTGAGCATGAGATCTGTTTCTGTTTATTCACAGTCACTGCAATACTCCATTTATTCTTTAACAGCATGAAGTCAGCAAAAAAGAAATTTGCTTAATAACACTTGCACCCTGTCCTACTGAAAAGTTTATCTTCAATCCTCTCCTATCA